CCCCCAAACCCCAAAACCCCAAAACCCCAAAACCCCAGATTTCACCTAAAATATTGTTAAAAATTCCTTATTAATTAGATTTTCATCCATTTATATAAAGATGTTCCAATACAAGAATCTACAGATAAAAAGGATAGAGAAATCTATGGAGATGCTGCGTGTTGTGATTTTAGTCCATCTTGGATACTTTTTCACCAGGCTAATCAATATACTTATTCTCGAGTTTATCTGGACAGAACAAGTAAGTGTCGCAACAGAATGACCAATTTTTGTAAAAATTCATTTATAAGAGTTGAAGGTTCATAAGAACTATATCTAGTTTAATTGGTTCTAGTCATAACCGTTAAAAATTAGTGTTTCTAATGAATTCAATTCCGTATTTTTACTCTCATTTGTTTTAAATAGTACTTTCAGGCGCTAATATAAGAATTATAGAACACAAGCATTCTTAACTCCCATTGCAATGAGATTTGCAAAAGACCCTCAGCAGGAAGCCTGATTATGCTAAAAATAGGGCCCATACTATCAGAAGTCTCTAGAAATCATTTTTGGATCGCTGCGATGTTTGGCTACATTTGAATTTTACTATTTCTGTTATTTAATTCATTACCCCAAAATGCCATAATTTCAAGCCTTACTTCTAAGGATAAGGTTATCAACAAGGAGGAAATCTACAAGAGAAAGAGGCTTCTCAAGATCATCGGCTATTGCATGATTTTAGGAAACACTATTATTATCTCTTTTAAAGACTGGATTGACTGTCTTACTAACTTATCAACCATCCGTCTCTCAGAGGTATATCTTTTCAACATCATGATAAGTATTTTTATCATTAAAGAGGCGAATTTGTGCATATGTATAAATACAGTTGAAGTATTGCTAATCAATTTAGTGAACTTTTGTATTATCGGCAGCTATGATAGCTGGAAAGTGTTGTTTAGCTCATTCACAAGTCTCATGATATCTTCTATTCTGGTGCTTTACTGTCTCAGAGAGGATAGAGATAGCCATGACACCAAAAAGGAGCTTCAAGACCAGATGAATATGATGAGAAAGATCCTAGAATTTTTCCCATCAGGAATCTTATTCTTTAAAAATAAAGAATGTGCATATAAATAACAAGTTTTGGGATAATCTTGTTGATACCACTATTTGACCAGGAAATGAAGCAGAGAATCCTTCTCAACAAATGTCTGAGTTCGACAGATCTTACAGTCTTTTGGGAAAAATCATAAATGTTGCCAATGAATCTAAGTCTTTGACTGATGAAATTATGGAAATACACACAAGGATGAAGTCACAGGTCACTAAGAATGCTATTAAAAAGAACGGATTTGTTACAGTTAAAACTAAAAGGAACTCGGATGTTTTTGAGTTTGAGCTGAACAACAATAGTGGCAAACAAATCTCAGAATTTGCCATTAAATTCTCTATTTATGAATTTTCTCCACACAAAGATACTTTCCTAATGATGGTGGTCGATGATATTAGCAATCAAATGAAAACTAAAGAAACTAAGATCTATGAACAACTGAAGGCTGTGATGCTCTGTTCAATCTCTCATGAACTCCGCTCACCTATTAATCAGCTAAATGGAACTCTAACTCTTTTAGAGGAAAGCATTTCTTCATCAGAAAACTATTTGCTTAAGATTGCTAGAAGCTCTACTGAAATTCTCAAACTTAAGGTTGACGATATCTTGGATTTCTCTGAGATTGAAACACAGAACTTTAAGCTAATAACCAAGGGCTTTAATCCCAGAGAGTTAATTTTGGAGCTGAATAAGATTTTTTCTCCAATGGTGGATTCATCTAAGACCCACCTCTACTTCATAATCAATGAGAGAACTCCTGCTATAGTTCAGCATGATTTTGACAGACTCAAGCAGATACTTGCAAATTTTCTCAGCAATGCTGTGAAATACTGCAAAGCAGGAAGGATCACTCTTAGGATCGATTGGGAATCAACCAATGAGAGATGAGGATTCCTCAAGTTCTCAATTTCAGATACTGGCATTGGGATTCCAATGGAAAAGAGAAAAAATCTGTTCAATTTCTTAGATCCCGAAATCATTAAGAACTTGTTAAAGACCCAGGGTCAGAAGACAACCAATCTTGCAGGAACTGGATTAGGCATTTCAGCCAAGATTATCCAGCAGATGGGGTCAAGAATCAACTATATTTCAACTGAAGGAGAAGGAACAAAATTTTGGTTCAAAGTTATGGTAAGTACTTTCAGAGAGAATGTCAGCTTCACTATGTCTCTTATAGACAGAAAGAGAGAGCGTAAAACAAGAGGATATTTACAGAACCTCCAGCTTTGAAATTCCTATTGAAGATTTTCAGGATGTCTATAATTCCTCAAATATTCAGGTAGATGACCAAAAGGAAATTGGAGCTGACTTTAATCAGATTTCATATACACCAGCTTCTGCTATAATTGAAACAGGAAAACTTTGTACAACTGAAGAAATATTGAATTATTTTGAAGAAAATCATTCATATGGAGTTGACTTGAATGCTCAGACTTTTTCATATGAAGACTTCGCACAATTTGATAGAAGTGTTTATAGTGATGATGACAACAATGGTAAGACTTTAAATCCCTCTACTAAAATTCCTCCTTCCATACTCAAATAATAGAACAAAGTAGAATTCTAGTTTTTGATGGTAATACATAATAGAAAAAAAGTGATAAAATCCTCTAAAATTTCCATATTGAGCCAAAATCACTTTGTAGCTTCATTTTTATTAAATATCAGCCAATTTATCAAGATTTACACTATCTGAGTTTCTATTCAAATACATTGGGCCACCACATATTCTGCTGTTTAAAGCTTATTTCATTTGAGAAATTTCACCTAAATCCAGTATTTTCACACATATCTTTCAGCCCAGGAGGGCACAGACCCTAGAAAGTTCTACAAAGAGAAGGAAAAGAGGCTGCACACTCTGAGCATATTTCGAGATAAGAAGAAAACACAAGAAAGATGGCAAAAGTTCAATGAAAGAGCATTTAGTTTAGACCTATGCGATGTTCCAGACGAAGGTAGTGTTCCTAAGATACTTACTTACGTATCCACCAGTTCTCGGCCAAGTAAACCACATCAAAAGAGCGGATCATTGGTTATAAAAGGTATAGTACACTAATCCATTTGGTTCATCTCCATTTGTCTTTCCTGTTATTATCAATGACCTAGGCCTTCGAAAAGACACTAAAAAGTCTAGATTTTTCCAATGAAATACAGTAAATATTCAAACAAATAGTCTTAGTAAGCAGCAGAAGAAGGTATGGTTACTATTAAAGATTTTAGAACAATGATCTTAGTGAGAGCAGCTTTAGTGAAGATATATGCAAACCTCGTACCAGGAACTTCATTACTGAAGAGAGTGAGAACCTTCATCTAGATATATCAAATAAAAAGCTGTTTGATGCAAACAACTTGGCAAAAATTAAGAGAAAGAAAACAAGTGGAACTCAGAATACATTATTGGGTAAAGTGAGGCACTTTTCTCCAGCTGGGTCAGGTCCCCACTTCTTCAGCCTCGAAGGAATCGCTACTGAATCTGAAGACTATATTTCACCCAGGTTCTGTAAAGACTGCAAGTGCCCAAGTGTGCTTATCGTTGATGACCAGTATATTAATAGGTTTATCATCAAACAATTTTGTGAGAGATATAAAATAAAGTGGGTCGAAGCAGAAGATGGCAAGGAAGCCCTTGAAATGATAAGGAATCAAAACAAGAACCATTGTTGTCAAGGATTTGAACTGGTTCTAATGGACCTCAACATGCCTGTAATGGGAGGTATTGAAGCAGCTATTGAGATCATGAAGATGAAAGATAATTTTATAATCCCTCCTACTATGAGACTAGTCGCTGTTACTGCTTTCTCTTCAAAAACAGAAGAAGATAAGTGATTGGAGGTTGGCTTTGATAAATTCATCACAAAGCCCTTCAGGATTTCACACTTTTTAAAGTTAATTTCTGAATAAAATTCAAGCCTAATTAAATTTTACAAAAAATAAACCCATATATCTTTCTATCTATACCAGCTTTTGTTAATTTCTTTATCAAAATCAACTAAAATACTAAATCATTCTAAAATACTTAAAAAATATTGAGCTACTATTTTAATTTTTGCCAGCTTTCTATAAATTCTATAGACCTAATCTCCCCTACCTCCTCCAATAACCTTCTCTACACCCAAAAATTTCCTCAAAATCTCTCTATTCTTAATTTCCCACAAACCTTCTATTCCTCAAAATCTTACCCTGTGTCATAAAATCTCACATATTCCCTCAAATCTTGCCATAATGGAACTAATGTCACCAAATAGTTAAACCTCAATGTTAAAATATTATAATGGGGTTTTGGGGTTTTGGGGTTTTGGGG